TGCGTGCGTGTGTACGTACACGTGCGTGTGCACGTACACGTGCGTGCTTGCGTACGTACACGGGCGTGCGTGCGTGCGTGCGTGCGTGCGTGCGTGTGTACGTACACGTGCGTGCTTGTGTGCACGTACAAGTGCGTGCGTGTGCACGTACAAGTGCGCACGGCGTGTGCACGTACACGGCTAACTACGAACTCGCTTATAACGAAAACAATGCCAAGCTATGACAAAAAAAAGCGTCAAAGGCGCCGCCTGTCTGTGTAGTATGGTAATTATTTATTTATTTTTAGTTGAGCAGTAATTTTATAATGTTTTCTCAATAAAATAATGCATGCTGCGGTATGCTGGAAACACCTGCGGAAATTTCGAGTGGTTTACGGCACCTCGTCAGCTCGTGTAAAGTTACGCAAATAAAAGGTTTACGTAAATTTTAGCTTGATGAATCGCACCTAAAACGGCTTCGCTTGCGTACGCGAAATCGTACGAAAATTTACTAAATAGCTGTGTCGATTGCGTACACAAGATTTACGCAAAATATTTAATTTGCGTACGCAGCTTGATGAATCATGAATCTACCCCCTGCACCCCACCCGTCAGTGCAAGCGCACACGGTATCAGAGTCTACAGTTCCCAGGGGCGTGTACAGGGGGGTCCAGGGGGTCCGGACCCCCCCTGCACGCGCAGAAAACGCATCTGAAAGGGTCTAATTTCAAAAAAATCCCCAGACGTGCTCATGTACACGCCCCTAGTTTCGCCCCCCCTAACAAAATTCCCTGGCGCCGCCCCTGGATCTAGCATTACCTGTTAATTAATTACACAGGTAGATCTAGGATTAGCTGTTAATTAATTACACAGGTAGATCTAGCCTTACCTGTTCATCAGCTTCATCATAGGGATTCACAAAGACCTGCGTGGTCTCAATGATGAGATCCTTCTGTGAACGACAAAAGTGAGATATAATCAGCATCGCTGCGTTGTTTCCTATTACACATTACTGTTACTGTCATACATGCGACTCATTTACTCTTGCATGGCTGTAATTCTTTGCCTAACATGTAAACCTGGTAGCTCTTTCTACAAGTGTATAGCAGGGCACTACCTGTTGAGAAAGAGAGAGAGAAATAAAAAGAGGGAGAGAGAGTGAAAGAAGGAGGGAGAGAGAGAGAAAGAGAGAGACAGACAGACAGAGAGACAAAGAGACAGAGAGAGAGAGAGAGAGAGAGAGACAGAGAGACAGAGAAACAGAGAAAGAGAGAGTCAGACAGAAAGAAAGAGTGAAAGAGAGAAAGACAGACAGAGAGAAAGAAAGAGAGACAAACAGAGAGAAAGAGAGAAAGAAAGACAGAGAAAGAGAGAGAGACAAATAGAGACACAGAGAGACAAACAGACAAAGAGAGAGAGAGAGCGAGAGAGAGCGAGAGGGAAAGAGAGGGGGAGAAACAGTAGTAGAGGCAGCACGTCAGCACGACCAGCGCACGCACCGTCGGCCTGTCCTTGTCGTCGACGGAAACTTTCTCCATGGAACCCAACACGTCCAGTCCTCCGACGACGCGGCCGAACACAGAGTGCTTGTTATCCAGGTGGCGACACGATCTGTACGTGATGAAGCTGCAACAAGCGGCGTCGTCAGTGTCCATCGCCGTGGCAACCGCGCAGACGCTGAGCGACGCGTCCGACGCGCCTACGCGACGCTGACAGCAGCGTGGGATAGATATACCTATATCCATGTTTAAATCTCCGTTTCAGTAACCCTGAGGCCCCGCAGCTGCTTTCACAGTAAATGCTACAGTAGTGGGTTAGTCCACTGGTAGCACTGCGAGTTAACTTGCCACACTCTCTCTATTTGCTGAATGCTAAGCAGAGAAGCCGTGTGTACCATTGTTCAAGTCTTTAGTATGACCCGGCCGGGAGTTGAACCCCCGACCTTTCACATGCGATGCGAGCACTATATATAATAATTTAAACTATATCTATGTTTACATCTATAGTAATTACGTCGCGAGTAATTAGAGGACAACTGATTACTCATAATTTATTATATTTTATTTATTATTTTATTAAATTATAACTCATATTAAATTTAATCAAAATCACACAGAATGGATGGTGAATCGATATTGATAGCGAACGGGAGATGAGTGCATTCCCAGTTTCGCAGCTGAAAAAACAACTCTTCTTTTTCCAGTTCCCAGGGTTAATTAAAATTGCAGATTCTATGCTTTTCCGCGACCCGATTGATTTCTATTCCAGAATCAAGACAAATTTCTTCGGTATTTCCCCGCTCCCAGGTGATTAAAATAATGTGGACCAATTAAAAGTGCAGGAGGAAGGGAAGGCAGTCTGGGAGCGACACAGGAGTTTTTCACACCACTCATAATAAATGCGTACGGGCTGTAAAAACGCAAGTGATTGAACGAAATGAAACGAGTGAATGTCGCTCACAACTGAGATTTGTTTGTGTTCGGTCCAGAGTTGGCCATGCTGAGTACGCCACGGCCAGAATGTGTCAGGTTGGGCTTGAATTCATCCCGGAATGTCGATCCCCAGATCGACTCGCCTCCCTTTCCTGTTGCTGTCGGGTCCCCGCCTTGTAGCTGTGCAGCAAGAGAGAGAAAGTGAGAGAAAGAGAGAGAGGGAAGGGGGAGACGGAGAGAGAAGGAGGGGGAAAGAGAAAGGGGAAGTGGGAGAGATAGAGAGAGTAAGAGGGGGGAAAGAGAAAGATGGAAGTGGGAGAAATAGACAGAGAAAGAGGGGGGAAAGAAAAAGAGGAAAGTTGGCGAGATAGACAGAGAGGTAGATGGAAAGAGAAAAAGAGGGACAGGGGGGAGAGAAAAAATAGAGAAATGGATGGGGGGAAGAGAAAGAAAGAGAGAGAGAGAGAGACAGAGGCATACAAACATGTTTACCTGTGCTACATGAGTTTTAATTTTTCACTCATTATACCGACAAAGTAGCTACGATATATTACAGAGCAACCATCTGTCATCATCGTCTCTGTCAACGGTAGAACAATGACAGAGCGGTCAACAGATAAACATTCCAATGACTCAGCGTTTGCGCTGCATGCGTTACGGCAACACGAACACAGTGCTGCCATCTGCAGTGGCTTTTCGTGCCAAACGCTCGCAGTAACAGCATCAGGGTCGGTGTCACTTTCCCCCGGGCATAGAGGGAGGGTGCCACTACGTGGCAGCACTAGTGTTAGGATTAGGGTTAGGGTTAGGGTTAGAGCTAGTGTTAGGATTAGGGTTAGGGTTAGGGTTAGGGAAATAAGGCCATGTCTAGCATGGAAGTATGACTGTGGAATCTTTCTGTGGAAGATTTGGGCTTTGAAGTGTACGAAGTGACTAGTGCTGCCACGTAGCGGCACCCTCCCTTTACGCCCAGGGGAAAGTGACACCCCATCAGGGTTGTGCATCGCTGCTCGTTATGCTAACGTCGTCGTGCTAACGACATCTCACCATGAAGTTACGTATGGATCGGTGGAAGACGGTGCCGCGGTAGTAACCCGTCTCGCAAAGCTTGATGAAGTTCTCACACGTTCTCGGAACCTGCAGCGAAACAAACAAATAAACAAATGACTCAGCGTTAAATCACCACCCGACAGCGTCATATGCACTGTACGTGTATATACATATATTGCGTACACCATATACCATATAACATGCACTGCCATGATAAGCAAGAGCCAAGCAAACAAACGACTCAGCGTTAAATCACCACCCAACAGCGTCATATACACTGTACGTGTATATACATATATTGCGTACACCATATACCATATAGCATGCACTGCCATGATAAGCAGGAGCCAAGCAAACAAACGACTCAGCGTTAAATCACCACCCAACAGCGTCATATACACTGTACGTGTATATACATATATTGCGTACACCATATACCATATAGCATGCACTGCCATGATAAGCAGGAGCCAAGCAAACAAACGACTCAGCGTTAAATCACCACCCGACAGCGTCATATGCACTGTACGTATATTAGTGTTGTCAATCGGTTGTAATTTCGTAATCGATCATCTGTTGGACCCAAGTAACCGATGATCGGTT